TTTTACAAAATGCAGATGGTTAAATGCAAGTATTAACGACAAAAAATGGCAATGGTACTTTTGATAATTCATCCTTTGTTTGTTTTTAAGAAAATTTACAACTTTCTAAAATGAAACAAATCTACGTAAACTATAATTATTAGTAATATTAAATATAGATGAGACACTATATTTTATATTAGTAATAGTTATAGTTTACGTAGATTAACAAAAATAAAATATATAGTGTTTCCAGTTACATAAAGTTAGATAAATTCTTATCATAAATCGATGTAAAGTACAATTACTAAATATTAATAAATTTGAAACAAAATAAGGTATATAAAAAGCAAAATTAGTCGATAGAAATAACGTAACATAAATACATTAGCTACGACAATATTATGCATGGTTTACATGTCAATCGAGATGAAAAAATATTTTGATATCAATCAAGTTCCTGTTAAAACAAATGCCTGTTACTAGAAACCACTGTACAGATAGCCTCTTTATATTATATATCTAAAGATCAGTTATAAATAACTCAATGCATTGATACAATATCTAACACGCATATCAATTAAACTTTCTCCTTCAAATTCAAGGTACTTCTTCACAGACGTAAACTTTGGTTATAAAAATTCTTTTTCCAAAACTTGTAACTGTATTATCTAATAACATTTTATGTAGCACTTCTACATATGCCGCGCGAATCATTTTGAGTTATACAGCCGCAACTTTTTGAAACCATAAAAACACACCCCCAAGTTTAGCGATCTTTGTAGGAGTTTTAGCTCGGTTCGCATGCACCATGCCGACATTTTCTAATCAACCCTTGTTACAAAATTTATGACAGCTTTTATGCCTAGTTCGCAGTTGTTCATAGCACGTCGAAGACAAAAGAGCTCTGCTCAAAAGCCTTTTAGTCTTCAATTGTTAGTTTTTTTTTGTTTATTTGTTAACATTGATTCGAGAGACAATGGAAAATGCGAGCATTTATGCAAATTTGTATCAAAGTCACGGATGTACTTTAATTAAACGCACGGTTTTTATAACGCATTTATGACTTTGCTGCGCAGCATTGTGTTACTTCACAAATTACGTAAATGCAACTTTTGCTATTTAGTTTTCTAAATTACATTTTGGGTGTTTTTAGAAATACCTAAGATACTTATATTTATTATTATTAATTTCTACAGGTTTGTCATTTCCATTTTTTGTTAATACTGAATTAACAAAGAAAAGTGTTGAAGTGTAAAGTTTATCATAGATTCTTCATGAAATTCAGTTTTAAGTGCCATTAGGCAAAACAGCTTCGCGTATGTCATGTATTACTCATTTTAAGTTTTAATTTGTACCGTAAATAGATCAATCAGAAGCATGCCCGAATCAGTCAGAAGCGTAGGCCATGGACACTCGGTTAGAGTTCCAGGCATTTTAATTTTTTGGATTGAAATTAAGTAGAATATAAATTGTTGATTTGAGATAAAAAAGAATTAAAAATTAAAAGTGAAAGAAGAATAAAGAAGTCGTTAAGAATATTGATTAGTACATATAAAAAACGTGGTGGAGGTGGTAAATAGAAATATAAGTATGGCTAAAAGCTCTAAGTAGGCGAGACAAAAAGTAGTATTTACCGTGTTCGATCTTACACCAAGTGTCGTCATATTTAGATTATTTGATCATGTAAAGATATATTTATATATATTCAATAACATTACAATAAATAAATCGGGTTCGAGATCGTTATTTCCCAGTACTTCAGGTGGAAAAGATGTTTAACCCCTTAACTTAAAATGGCGAGCAGAGCCCGCGTGCTATTGCTAGGCCAAATGTGAATATTACTGGCATAGCCCGCCTACGATATTCCGGCCAGAAGCAAATATTACGCATTTTGGGCACGGCCCACTATGGTAAACGCAAGTATTACAAAGTATTTATTCATACGAAACTATAAAACACAAAATTATTTTTATTTTTATCTAAATTATCTAAATCGTAAGTTAAGGGGTTAATAGTACAACAACAAAAATTATCAGATTTTCATCATATATCATCCATTTAGATTCATATATATATATATATATATATATATATATATATATATATATATATATACACAGTAGAACTTCAATTATCCGAACTCCGACTATCCGAACTCCGACTATCCGAATCGCCGATTATCCGAATCGCCGATTATCCGAATCACTTTCAGAAAAAAAAAAATGTCCAAAAAAAGTCTAAGCGCGCTATTATTCTTCCACCAGCAAAGCCAGTGTAGGCACATTGTTTGTTTTGATTTGACGGAGATGTTTACAAAACAATGATTTTTATTTCTAAACTTGTACATAAGTACATTTTATTTACATTTAATTCAATAAAAAAATAGTGCAATATCAAAACGTAACTTTTTTTTCTCTCCAATGGCAATTTTAAACTAGTGGGGCGTATGGCATTGTGCCTTAAGGCAAATTGCTGGAACTTCCCGTACCAAAAATTATTATTTTTTAAAAACGATTAACATTTTTTTAAAAAAAATTACTTAAAAAAATTAGATTTTTGAGAAACTATAAATTTGACAAAAAATTAATTTTTTTTGAAAAAAATTTTTTTTTTAATCAAAATAAAGAACCTCTTTGACCGATTTTGGAAATTCTGATTTTTTTTTCAAAGCAAATGTACTGCTAATGATCATTTTAGACCGCCAAATGGCATTTTTTTTTTACTTTTTCATTAGATCTCCTAAAACGCTAGACCTGCCTTCATGAAAATTTGATCAATTCTTCATCTTGTCAATACAAGTAAAATGTTTTTTGAATTATTAAAACAGGACGCTCCGTTCTTTTAAAAACTTAGTTACCATTTTTGGCACTTTTTGGCCCGTATCTTCGGAAGGTCTAGACCTGCCTTCGCCAAAACTAATCAGCACGTCTCCTTAATACGAATCGCATGTTTTTTGAATTATTCAAATCGGTTGATCGGTGTTCCAGAAATTGTCGACGAAAATTTGTATCCACACACACACACACGCACACACACACACACACACACATACATCAATTTTTTCTAAGGTAAGCCAAGATATTCAGAAACCTTTGAAACGTAAAGATAAATAATTTTCATTTTCGATTTTTTTGCGATTACTATAACTTGCCCTACGGGAAGTTAAATATATATTCCCAATTGAAAATAGCCTATTTCGGGTACTACGGTGTGAAATGGCAATAGGAAATCGCTCACACTATTTATTCCCTAAATCGAGTTGGAGTTTAACTCAGCTCACGGTCCTGCCCTAGGGGAGTACTACCCACTATTATTATACAATAGCATTGAACAATTTATAACATTTTCATTTTTTTTTTAAACCATGTGCCATTTAAACTATTTCATTCTGCATCGTATACAATCCAATAATTTTAATTTTATGTACATATTCTTAAATAAATAATGTTTTCATTATGTTATCTACATATTAATTTTCATTAACTTTGATTTCTTATTCTTCAGTATTACTAGCACAATTTTCAAGTACATAATATTTTGTACAAGGTATCGGTATTCAATTGAAATTAAAACTAGCTGTAAGTGGAATTCTGTCTTGAGGCAATTATGGCATCGTGCCTTAAGGCAAATTGCTGGAACTTCCCGTACCGTAACAAAATGTTCGAGGAATACTGAATGTTTTCAAATAGATTATTATAAATATTGTAAAATTGTCTAATATTCATAAGAATTATATAAACTAAATTGCAAAGTTGAAATTATTTGTAAAGTATAAGAACTATAGTCAGAATTAAAAATAAAATCTGAATTATTTTCGATATACAAAAAGTTAAAAAAATCGAACGCTTAGTTCTCTCAAAAACTGCCATTTTTTACATATTTAGCTCCGTAGCTTCGAAATGGTTGGGCCTGCCTTTGCCAAAAACTATTAAACACTTCTCCCAATCATTACTAATTATTGAATGTTTTTTAGATCATGCAAATCGGATACTCCGTTCTCTTAAAAAGTCGACTTCTATTTTCTGCACTCTTTGCTTCTTATCTCCGAAACGGCTGGAACTGCATTTGCCAAAAACTAATCAGTTCTTTTCCCTATCAATAGGAATCGAATGTTTTTTGAACCATTCAAATCGGTTGATCCGTGCGCCCGAAAACGTGACTAGAAATTTGTATCCATACATACATACACACACACACACACACACAATTCCATTTTTTCTGAGGTATGCGAAAATGTTCAGAAACCTTCAAAACGTCGAGAAATGTAAAAATTTTCAATTCCGATTTTCGGCCCATTACAATAACTTACCCTACGGGAAGTTAAAAAAAACTCCGATTATGCGAATATTTGATTATCCGAATGGGTCCCGGTCCCCATTAATTCGGTTAATTAGAATTCTACTGTATATATATATATATATATATATATATATATATAATATTAAATGGTAGAGTCTTGGATTTGTGTATATGTTGTAGAGTTTTGAATAAGAATCCAAAAGTAACAGAAAACAAGAAAAGTTTTTTGGAAAACAATTTCTTTATTTATTTATTTATTTACTGTCGACGTTTTGGAACTAGGTACGTTCCATCTTCAGGACATCTCTTAAGAAACATGATCTTGATGAGATTTAAGCAAACAATATGTTTAGGAAAAGAAAAAAGAATTTTTCTTAAATAATAAATTAATTGCAAAAAATAATAATAGTAATAATAATGTACAGAAATATGATAATTAATAATTAATTGATAATAATAATTATTAATAGATATGTTATTCAACATTTCACTCACTATAATACACACTATGCACTGAAAACTTATTGAATTAAATAAACTTAAAAAAACACCAATTCAAATACTCGAAACAAAATGTTTAAAAAAACGGCATAAAATGAAATGAGTTTTGGCTTCATTATAAAATGCATTTCAAACTTTTGTATTAAAAAAATACAAACTTTGAAATAACATTTTATAATGATTTTATTATAGTAAAGAAAACATGCAACTGGACTTACCCTCACGCCCATCTCAGCAACAATATCTTGAGTTGACCTACCTGTAAAAAAAAAAAAAAATTTAAACTAAATGAATATTATATACAATTTATATATAATCATTCTAAAATTTTAAGATATTTAGAATATTTTGAGTCTATTCATCAGTAGCGTGTCCGACTCAAACGACAGGAATCACAGAACCGAATCCTGTCATTGAAATAGAATTTAAAAAATATAGTTAATTTGGAATTAAAATAAAATTTGAATTGTTGAGTTGATTTTTAAGAGAAAATTAAAAGGAAAAAAAGAGCTTGATGAGTATTTGAGAAGATCAGATTTAGAGTGAGGAAAAAAATGTATAGAATAAGATTTATATATGAAGATAATATAGAATATATAAAAAATAGTGTGGAATATAAATGGAGATTGTATAAAATATAAAAATATAATGTCTATGGATAAATGCTCTAAGAATGCAAGGCCAATTTAAATAAATAAATAAAAAAAATAATAGATACATTTATTTTCTTGTTTAGAGGAATGATAACCGCCTCAGTTCTTTTGAGAACATAGCTGCTAAGTCACATATATTGCTTTCGTATATAACGATTCACGACAATAGTAGCGTGGTCTAAAATACCTTTTTCAGCCATATTTCGTACAGAACATGGTTTGCAGTTGTCAGATAATATGCTATAGCTGGCGATACCCCATTATCGTTACTTTACCGGCTTCGGCCTGTAATTCTTGCATGCAATGGATGCAGTGATATCAAATAACGCGACGTCATCAATTTTGCAAAATTAGTACTTTAGTGGGTTTGAAATTTGCTACGATAATGAGAATTGTTCCCCATTGCAACTTAGTACAGAACTTGGATATTTTCAAAAAAGTTTATTTTTGTGACATTAAATTGCCATAGGAAGTAAAGTATTATATGATACAAGTATTGCTAAATTACCAAAGATGCCATAAAATCTCTTATTCTATATGGAAATTATATTTTTAAAACGCGTTATTTCTTAGAGTAACTAGTTGAAATCCAAGTGCCTGGTAGAAGTTGCAGTCAAGTTATCTAGAAACCTGTTCAAAAGATCGACTAAGAGCCTACGACAAGTGGAACTGGATCGTCGGAATTATTTCAACTATAACTATACATATTGTACATGTATACAACATGTTATAAAATGCTACTTCTAAGTTGCTTTCACCAATATCAAAAATATTAAATACCGTATACATATAAATTCCGTGACTGATATTTTTTATAAAATTTTTTACACATCAAATGTATCAAATAATAAATGTAATATGAAACTGTGTTTTTTCTACCAATATTCAAATAAATTCATATAAATCGTATAATACCATTCGTATGAAAAATTGTAATTAAAATAATTTAATCAATTATCAATTCAAATGCAATTTAGTAATTCATAAATAATGCTCAAATTGCATAGTTATTTGGGTCTAAAAGGGAATGAAGATTTGCGAAACAAAATCGGTCATATCATATTTTTCATGTTAAAAATCTTTTGGAGTATCTAATGATATCCTATCATAATGACATACCTTACTTCTCATATATTGACCATTTTTGCTCATTGCCTTCTTTGACAAATTGGCAGAATAGAAGAGTTTTAAAAATGTGAAATATAATAAGGTAAAATTAAACAATTATCTATGGGCATCACTTCCATATGGTTTCAGTTCATAAAGAGCTACTACTTATTTTGTCACATTTTCGTAATTTAGTCATAACCAAATTGATACACATCTCGCTAACAAATATATAAATTTACTATATTTATATAAGTAAAATATAAGTATTTTCTGAAAAAGGACATTTGCTATCCCTGGGTTCTACCAAGAGGAACGGCGAACCGTGGTAGACGACAGCCTAATGGTCGTTTGCAAAGATATGGACCATCTTGTAGAAATGTCTCCAAAGGTTATAATATTCTTGCAATATATTCTTAAACTTAATATTTTGTTTGACAATTATATTTGAACATAATGCTGGACAGCAATTAGTGTTGCAAATAGAATAGAGTGAATAATTGTAAAATGATAAACAAGTTTTTCACAATTTTTTATAGAAACAGATATCAATAGGGTTATTACTAGACTACTCTCAGAATAATACAAAACTCAAGACACAATAAACAATTAAAGATATTTTTTATTATGTCTTGAGTTTTGTATTATTATGGGAGTATATAAAACTAAACCATATGAAAGTGATGCGCAAGACATTCTACAAAGCGCTCAAAAGATTTTCGTATTGATATAATCATACACTAATATAATTTGAATAAAACGTGATTGTGTAAATATTTACTTCAAAGAAGATATATTAAACAAACTGTAATTTCAGTAAATGATATTTTGAATTTTACTTAGGATACAAAAAAACATGGAAAGAAGTACCAAATTGAAAAACAACTATTTATAGAATGCTAAATTCCTCCAATACATGGTAATGAAAAAACTTCCAATACCATAAAGAAATGCAAAGTATAAAATAAATCTTGTAAGAAGACCTTAGTAGTGTCATGAATCCTTAGTTTTGAAAATAAAGTAAAATGTATATATGGTAAGAAGAAGTAGTGAAAATGATCTCATAAACGAGAGCATCCATGATTATGAACAAACGCCGATAGTTTTCTTATTATAACAAAAAAAACAACACAAACTCAAGAAATATGCAAAAACGCATCAGAATACTAACAATTTATGTACGAATTCGTACAGCAAATATTACATTAAATTAAGAATATAAAAAAAATAATTGTAAAATTTTGTAGGATCATAATACATATCCAAATTAAGCAATTCAATCAATTCTATATTAATTATTTTACTGTAATCTATAATCATGTATAATGCCTTTGACAATAGTGAAACGCTCTTCTGTAATAATTTCATAAATACAAAATTCCATGCACTCTAAAAATTTTAAAATAACATATTGAACTGTACCCTGATGCAACTATGTAATTGAAGACAGATGTTGATATCTAAGCAAAAAAATGGAATAGCTTTGAATTAAATTACTAGCAGATCAATATAAATCATACTATTTACAAGAATAAATTTACTACATTGTAATAAATTAAATTTACTTCAAGTAAATGAAAGAAAAATATAAAGTGTAAATATAAAAAAAAATACAAATCATGATGAAACATACTAGCTGAAAACCTATTTTACGCATAATATTGAACTGAAACACCTCCTACAAAGTATTTTATTACTAAAATTGATAAAAAAAAAAGTTCATATGACAAAAATTAAGTTATTACCAGAATAATCAACATGGAATTGATTGAATTGCGTAATGCTTAAAAATTTTACCAAGAAGCCAATTTGACGTGCTACAGTCTATTATTAAAATGAAATTTTTTTAGGAGAATGCATGAAGCAGTCTAATTTAAAAATATATAAGATTCAAGTCAAAGTTATAGACTGATTAGCTCAGAATATACTAAATAAAAATGCATATTTTAACAACATATGGTAATGAAAAAACTGATTCACCAAATAAGTGCAAATAATAAAATTAATCAATTACAATATAATCATAATTGAAATGATTTAAGTGCGTAATACATGAAAATGTTCACCAAAAAGCCAATTTGACAAGTTAACAACATTAAAATAAAATAAAATTAATTATAAGGCAGCTAGTACATAAGAGAAGATTTAACGTCATCTGCGAAAAGGAAATTTTAAGTCATTATCATTAACACAATGGAATTAATTGATTTTTACCAAGAATCCAATTTTAAAAATAATAATTTGAAAATAAGTAAGATTTAGGTCAAAGTTAAAGACCTAGTGATTAAAATAAAATGCATATTTTGCACAACATTACACTCAACTATTTATAAAAATATTTTTCAAAGTATATCACTAAGATCTTTTGAATATATCACATATTTAAAACTAACAAAAAAGTGTCCTTATGACAACTCCAAGTCGTTATCAAGCTAATCATAATCCAACTGATTTAAATGCGTAATGCATAAAACTTTTCACCATAAAGCCAATTTGACAAGTTAAAAACATTAAATACTCATTGGATACTTTTGATATGAGCTAATTAAAATAAAATTAATTATAAGGCAGCTAGTACATGAGAGAAGTCAGAGCCATGTCAAATTTCAAGTCATTATCATTAACACAATGGAATGAATTGATTTTTACCAAGAAGCAATTTGATACCAGACTGCAGAAACGCAATCAAGTGAACATTTAATTTTATTTTAAAAATAATCATTTGAAAATAAGTAAAATTTAGGTCAAAGTTATAGACATACTGATCAGAATAAAACATACCAGAGAAAAATGCATATTTTGCATAACATTGTATTAAACTATTTATACAAATATCCTCTAAAGTATATATACTAAAATATATTATATATATATATACTAATATATTACTAAAAAGCTAGTTTAAGGAGTTAAAAACATTGATTATACTCAATACTTTTGATATGTGCTAATGAAAATAAAAATAATTTCAAGGTAGATAGTACATAAGAGAAGACAGACTGACTAACTGAATAGGACTGAAACTGAATAGGACCACTATAGGAAAACAACGTCAAATCTTAAGATATTATCATTATCACAATGAAAATAGTTTATTTTTACCAAGAAGCCAATTTGACAGCCTACTGCAACAACGCAATCGATTATTATTTGAAAATAAGTAAGATTTAAGTCTAAATTAAAGAAATACATGTATCAAACTACATGTACAAATTATCCTCTAAAGTACTATGATTATATACTCAATCGATATACGTGCTGATTAAAATAAAATTAATTTCAAGGCAGCTAGTAGATAAGAGAAGACGGAACGTTGTCTGCGAAAAAGAAACTGAATAGGACCACTATGAGAAAAGAACGTCAAATTTTGAGTCATTATCATGATCACAATGGAATTATTTGATTTTTACCAAGAAGCCAATTTGATACCCTACTGCAACAACGCAATTGAATTAACATCTAGTTTTAGAAATAATTATTTGAAAAGAGGTAAGATTTAAGTCAAAGTTGAATGAATACTGATGGCAATAAAACATACTAGATAAAATGCATATTTTGCGCAAATAATAATTTGAAAATAAATAAGATTTAGGTCAAAGTTAAAGGCCTAGTGATTAAAATAAAATGCATATTTTGCACAACATTACACTCAACTATTTATAAAAATATTTTTCAAAGTATATTACCATGTTCAAAACTAACAAAAAAGTGTCCTTATGACAACTTCAAGTCGTTATCAAACTAATCATAATCGAACTGATTTAAGTGCGTAATGCATAAAACTTTTCACCATGAAGCCAATTTGACAAGTTAAAAACAGATACACAATCTATACTTTTGATATGAGCTAATTAAAATAAAATTAATTATAAGGCAGCTAGTACATGAGAGAAGTCAGAGTCTGATCTGCAAAAAGGAAACTAAATAGAACCACTTTTGGAAAAGAATGTTAAATTTTAAGTCATTATCATTAACACAATCGAATTGATTTTTACCAAGAAGCAATTTGATACCTTACTGTAGAAACGCAATCAAATTAACATCTAATTTTATTTTAAAAATGATAATTTGAAAATAAGATTTAGGTCAACGTTATAGACATACTGATCAGAATAAAACATACTAGAGAAAAATGCATATTTTGCATAACATTGTATTAAACTACTTGCACAAATATCGTCGAAAGTATATTACCAAATAGACAATTTAACGAATTAAAAACGGTGATTATACTCAATCGATACTTTTGATACGAGATAATTAAAATAAAATAATTATAAGGCAGCTAGTACATAAGAGAAGATAGAACGTCGTCTGGGAAAAGGAATAGGATGAACTGAATAGGATCACTATTGAAAAAGAACATCGAATCTCAAGTCATTATCATTATCACAAGGAAAATAGTTGATTTTTACTAAGAAGCCAATTTGACACCCTACTACAACGCAATCAAATTAACATCTAATTCTAAAAATAATAATTTGAAAATAAGTAAGATTTAAGTAAAAGTTGAAGAAACATTGATGGCAATAAAACATACTAGACAAAATGCATATTTTGTGCAACATCGCCCTAAACTATTTATACAAATGTCATCCGAAGTATATTAACATATTCAAAACTAACAAAAAAAGCGTCCTTGTGACAAACTAGTTATCAAAATAGTCGTTATCAAAATAATCATAATTGAACTGATTTAAGAGCGTAACGCATATTTTTTTTACCAAAATACCAACTTGGCATGTTAAAAACATTGCTTATACTCAATCGATACTTTTGATACAACCTAATTGAAATAAAATTAATTTTTAGTACCACATGAAAGAAGCCTTCCCGTCGCATGCGCCAGAGCGGCTTAACTCCGGACGGAAAGCAGCGCACGAGTTAGCCCGCTACGGTACGCAAAGAACGCATCACCGTTGAGCATTATTGTGAAAAAAGATAAGATTAAATTTGTGAAATTGAGGCTTGATTTGTGAAAATAAAATTTGTGAAATGTAGTTTAGTAACTTCAGGAGTTTATTGTGGATTTGATATATTTTCAAAAGAAGTGCCAAAATACCACCAAAACAGTTTTTTAAAGCAGCTTTGGAAATGAATAGTAAATATGAAAAAGTAGCAAATCAAAAAAATCTTCAAAATGTGAAACAAAAGAAGCTGGATAGGACCACTTATGGAAAATAATATGCTACGCAGCATTAACAAATGAAGATTTAAGGATTTTATTGTTATAGAAAAGCTAAAAAAAACTCAAAAATATCGACAGATATATCTTGATAACACACTAAAATATTACTATTTTTCAACAGAATCCTAATAACCAAATCAGTGATTACACCTCAACAAAATCTCAATACGCCTCCAACAAAAATAAAATATCAATAGAACATCTGCGGAACCCTAGTGTCACCTTTGTATAGCTCAACAAAATCTCAGATTAAAATAGCAAAATCAAATTGTTCCAAAAAATTATTTCGAATAATAATGCATACTAAAATTTTCAAATAAAAAAAATGAACAATGAAAATAACACTAACCTTTATCGATCTGCCACTATGCTTTATTCTTGCTCGTACCAGCATTCTCAGCAACCAGCAACTAATAATCAGCAATACAGGATTACCAGCAATCAGCAACTTAATATATACCAGCTAGCATATCCAAAAACAAGGAACATACACCTATATTAAATAAACTCATTATAACAAGATATAAAAAAATTATGAATAAAAGTTATAATTTTACTGATTGCATTATAAAAATTAAAAATTTGAAAATGCCAAATTATTTGTAATTAAAAATTGTAATTCTCAACCGGCCAGAGAACGGCCGACGGGAGACTCGTACAATGGGAAGAAATACACAGTGATATAAGTTCATAAATTGTGGAAAAAGTTAGTCGCATGATGTATATCGGATATATATTTTATCATAAAATATACCTACTGCACAATACCATCGAAGGAAAAAAGTAAGACTAAAAGAAGTATGACAAAGTAAAATTATAATACATGTGATTAAAAGCAAAATATAGAAAAAGAAATCAAACGAAACTGAGTCTGAAAAGAATAAAGAAAAGAATAAAACTTTTTACAAAAGTTTCGTACGATATATGTACATAACAACTTGTGTTACAACAAATAATAATGTGAATTGTAGCAAAAGATAACACTTTATTACTAAAGACGGGTTCTTAAATATATAATAGGACGTATTGAACAATGCCATTGAATGGCAAATGATAATGATAGACTATAAAATGTAGATATTTTAAAATCAAGGAATATTAGACCAAAAGTTGGAAGCAGATTTTTGAAATAAGAGACCGAAACAGTTACACAAAAACATCAATATTAAAATAAAAGTACTTCGATTAGAAGACGAAATAATAAAATTTAAAAGAGAGTAACACAACTTGTCTGTAATGTATGTACATGAATAAGTAATATAAAAAAATTGTAATGATGTGAATAGCGGTAAAATAAAATGACAACGAATAAAAATGTAAGAAATACATTGAAGCTATTATAAAAATTATAAACATATGTAATAAAAATTAACTGTACGTACCTTTGCACTAAGCACTTATTGATTATGGCATCTTAATCAGCCTTACACTCACTAATACTTTACACACTACATTTTTTAAAACTTAAACTTTAAAACTTAAAAACTTTAAATTAACTAAACTAAAAAAAAACACTTCCACCACCACTGGATCACGAATCTGAAAAAGAAACACAAAAATTAACTCTCTGCTGTATAGTAATTAGGAGACTTATAAATCATTCACTAATAACTCTTACAGATTTTTGGTATCTCCGCACTTTTGATAAGAAACTTGCATCATTCTCACACAATCAGTGGATCATAAACCTGTTAAAGAAACACTCGAATTAACTCTGCTTTATGGAAATTAGATATACTTATAAATCATTCACAAATTAATATATAGAATTCTTATTGATGAACACTTACAGGCTTTGTGGTAGCACCGCACTTTTGATCCAAGATACGAAATAGATAAAATATATTTCTCATGCTGAAGCGCTTCACTATTCTTAAGTACTGCTTCTCGAGTTTAGACAAGTTTATGCAAGTCTGGACCTGTCCAATATACATCAATGACAAAATGTTTAATTTTTAATATTAACAATAAAATACTTAGATGAAACTAACACATTGCGTGCAGCGTAAGAACTGAAATTTCTGTAAGAGATGGGTCGATTACTCGCTCATTCATACAGCTTATCTGAAGGAGAAATCTCACTTATAGTTTACTGATAAGCTCGAGACCCTATTGAATTACATTGAATGGCTTAAAAAAATAGAAAATCATATTTTCTGGTTGAAAATATGAACCTCTCCTCCGGAAGTTAATAAAAAAAAAATTTATTTAACATTTCAAACAATTCAATTAAATCAAATATCTTAAAAGTGATAAGATTTTTAGCGAACGCATTGCAATGACCAAATATGGTCATGTTCGACTCGGCGTCGTTATGATAAAAATGCTACATTTTACACAAAATCGTCGAAATTTTCAGAAAATAATAATCAATCTTTGCAAAATAACTGAAAGGAAGCCGAAATGCATTCCATATGAGTGGATGCATTATCAGACCTCGGTATGGAATCCGAAAAATACACTTTTCTGTTGAAAATCTAAATACGATAAAGCATTAACGAATTAATTAAAATCATGATCATAGTTAGTTATACGTTGTTATAAATCAAGGATGTATCATGATGTCTTAAACGCAAGCAACACGGCACGCAAGTTTCATAATTTTGGAAAAATAAGGTTATATAAATAATATAAACTAAATAAATGAACAAACTTTTTGATAGCATCACTCAAAAAGCTATTGCAACTCAACATTATTCCAGATAAACGATTTCAAAAACGCCGAGTCACGCTCGCCTGAGCGTCCACTGCACCAAAACCTTTGAAGGCGGCGTGTCATCAGAAAATGCAAAATTTACACAAAATCGTCAAAATTGTTGGAAAATAATAATTAATCTCTGTTAAATAGGTAATTAGAAGTCGTAATAAAGTATTCATATGCTTGGATGCCTTATATTAGTCGCCACGTGCACATGGTACTAGATGCTAAAAATATACTTTTTTATCACAAATTTTCTAAAATACGATAAAACTTTAAATAAATAACTGAAATCATTATTAAAATTAGTTATAAGTCGTTATAAATCAAGGATGCATCACGATATCTTTTGACGCAAGCGTCACTTGTTCCAGCACGAAAATGACATTCACTTTTCGGATAAATAACTTAATAATTATATTAATTCAAATCAAAATCTAGGTTGAATATATGATTAACTAATTGATAACATCTAATTATCGAATATAGTTCAATATATTTCATGTATAGATTGATTTATATATATTAAAATCCTACCTTGATAATCCAAAGCACTTCTACCATTGTTCTTATCACTGGGGAGGTCCGTCTCATACTAAAGACGATTGATAACTGAGGGTGTTCGGAGGTGGTGGGGGAGTGTTGCCACCACAAAAATTATTAACTAATTTGTGCAATATGTGAGCGAGCGGTGATGTCACATCGCGCGAGTTTTAAATTTGCAATTATACATTGTAAATTTATTCAATAGGAGTGATGCAGTGTGAAGTTACTCAGTGATATGACGCGG